GTAATAACATATGCCGGGGTACAAAAATAAAAATAAATTATTGAAATTCAAATATTAAGTTACTATTCCATACTAAGGGATTAACTACACTGCACTAATGGATTTCTACACTTAATTCAAGCGAATTTTTTATGTATATTTACATTTAAACTTCAACGTTGCATTTAAAGACCTAAATATATTTAATTTTTACTTATTTTTATTTACTTATTTCAAAATTGTAACTGCAAAGAAATTTTATTAATTTTTTTTTACTTTTTTAACGAAAAAGGAAATATAAAGTACACCCAATTAATTCAAATCTCCCTCGCTCTCACTCACTTTCTTTTACTTATAATTTGGGATAAAATACTAGATTTTTTTAGCGAAATTATTCCATTGATTTGCTATTGTAATTTTTACATAGATGAACCATTCATACCATATAGTGTAACACTTTTTCCCTTTTTTAAATATATAAGACATATTAATGCAAATGGGACGCCCGGCGGTTGAGCGGTAGCGCTTCCCGCTGTCGTGCAACAGTTCCCTGGTTCGATCCTCGGGCCGGACAAGGTTGACTCAGCCTTTCATCCCTTCAGTGGGTCGATAAATGAGTACCAAGCATGCTTGGGAACTAAACACTGAGGGTTCCGCGTTCTGCTGACCACCTGACCGGAACATCAGCTCCTGCACCCCAGAGCCCAAGGTCAAGAAAACTGAGATGGGCACAGTAGGCCTTGGCCCGGGCTGTCGCGCCGCTGTGTTTTAGTATTAATGCAAATGTGCGAATTTGTTGTTTTAGATAGCAACATGGCATGACCTGACCTCTTTGCTTTTCTTAAAAATAATAATAATCGTTACTGATTTGAGAATGATGATTTTGATGGAGAATCGTTACTGATTTGAAAAAAAGACTTGATTTTGAGAATAAATCATTATAAGTTAATTTAAATTGGTTGTATCTTTTTTAGAGTTTTCGGAAGAGCATATAGATATTAAAACAAACCTTTCAAAAAACTCAGTTCTATTAATTGCAAAGTTTGATACAAAATAATTATTACGCCAAAAAAATTTTTTAAAAAATAAGGAAATAACAAAATAAAAACTTTTGCTTATAACGCTTACAGAATTTTATACAATTAACTGTATTCTGGATTTCCATACGTTTATTATTAACTTCTAAAAAAAATTTATTGACAAATAAAAGGGTATAAACAGCAATGAAATGGATAGTTAATGGGGGCAAATGATTCTACAAACAGAAATCCTCCTCAAAACAAATTTAAAAAAACTAGAGGAATATGTCAAAACTAAAGCACTTAAGAGCAAAAAAAAGGTTTTAAAATATTTCTTTGATGCTTTAATATTAGGTTTTTAAACCTAATTCTTTTTAAAGCTAAATTTAATTTTAATTGAAGCTAAAATACACATATTATTCCAGTTCTTCCGAAAAATTGTACATTTACTTAATTTACGTCTCAATCAGTATAAATTCATATCATCTCGTTAAAATATGAAGCAAGTCATCAATAAAGGAAGTTTCATTCCGGTTCGGTAAAACTACATTCAGATTAATATTTACATTTGGAGTGCATAATTTTCTAATTACTACTTAAAGTTGTACATCAAAATGACTCTTATGCAGGCAGGTCTAATAGCAATCACAAAAGTGAAAGGGTAGCAGTGCAGGAAAAACTGGAGTTAGGAGAGGGCAATGAACCTTTGATCTCGTGTATCGCATTCGAAATGACTTTTGCTCAATTGCTTTACGCCCGGATTATTCTCATTTATATCAATTTACCTGACAGGTTATTAGAAAATTGTTGTTTCAGTTTTGTTAAAGCTGGACAACATGGCATTTTATTTGTTTATCTACTGTCACAAAATTAGAATAGAAAAGTTTAATTCCAGAAGAAAATAGTCCAAAAAACAAGAAAATATTTTTTGCAAGAACATTTTGACTTTAGTTAAAAGAGTAAATTTTTGCGTCTTATGTTGCTGCAATGATAATAACTTCAAATCATCTGTAATAAAACAATATATAGAAATATTTTTTGTTAATAAATTAAATTTTATCAATTATATTTTTAGAAGATTATTATCTAAATGTTTTTTCTCTTCATTTTTTTAAAAAGGAAACGTAATGATATTAATTGTTTTAAAGTGATTACATATGAGAATGAAGCACTTTGTATGGAAAAATAGAAGTGACTTCAATTTATTTTAACTTGGTTGTTTAAAATTTTTTTTTTAAAATAGTAGCATACAATTAGTAAATTCAAGAAGCGAACACAAAATAATAATAATAAAAGGATGAGTCACGTTTGGAGCTCAAGGTACATTTCAGTGACTGCAGAGTTGAATTTATATATTATGATATAATAAAAGAAATTAAGGAAAAAAAAACATATGAAGAGAAAAGCAAAAAAAATAACAAAATCAAATACGAAGTTTAAAGTTTAAAAGGGGGCAAGCAAGAGGGTCTGATTTGGAGCAAATTGAAATTTTAAGTCCTAAAATATCAACATTATAAGTATGAAAAAAATTCATAGAAAAAAGATAAAGCGTGGAAAAAATAGAAAAAATATATCCTACATTAGGTAGAGAAGAAGTAAAATTTCTTAAGCTATTATTAAATTTATTTAAACTACAGCTTAGTAATTTTAATTGATAAGCATTTTAAATGTGCTTGAATAAATTTTTAGCAAATTTTGATTTAAATAAATTGAACCAATTTTAACAAATGAAAATTAAGTGTTATAAATTTTAATTAATGATAAATTGAATACATTTTAACTAATAAAAATTAAATTTTAATGACTTTTAAGCTTATATCTTCAATAAATATACTGAATTATAAAGAGTTGTATCTTTGGAACGTGCATAATAGCTTAGGTAGAACAGTTTAAAATAAATTGGATACTTGGAAAGAACATTATTTGATTTAGCTTCATTCAATGAAAAAAATTACTACCGTATACTTTCAAACTGAAAATTTAAAAAAAAATCGAAAATAATTAAGAAATTATTAAAAAAAATATCACAGTTAAAAATTTATTTTGTCAGCTAATTTTATTTCCTTTATCAGTTAATTTTATCTGCTTTTTATTGTAAAACTTTGCAATCTGACCCATTTATTTCATTTACATGCCTAATATTTTACCTAATACATAAAAACGCAATTATAATATTTTAGAAAAAGATTATTTTTTCTGAATAAATTTGTGAACTGGTATTTTGTCTCAAATCATAAGTGAAAGAGAGAGAGAGATTTAAATTAATTGGGTCTAATTTATATTGCGCTTTTCGTTAAAAAAGTAAAAAATTAAAAAAACAAAAACAAATAGTGTTTTTTTCTCCTTTGCTGTTATAATTTTGAAATAAGTAAATAAAAATAAGTGAAAATTAAATATTTTTAGAACTTTAAATGCAACGTTGAAGTTTAAATGTAAATATACATAAAAATTTGCTTGAATTAAGTGTAGAAATCCATTTGTTCATTGTAGTTAATCCATTAGTATGGAATAGTAACTTAATATTTGAATTTTCCATTAATTTATTTTTATTTTTGTACTTTGGCGTATGTTATTACTTAGGTGATTGAATATTTATGTACTTTATGATCAACATGTTTTTGATTATTATTATTACATAGGAAAAATATTTAAAAGTAAAAATGATGCTTTATTGAATTCTTTTTTTGATTTACAAGTATTATAAGTGTAGGGAAAAATGTTTCAATTCGCTCAATAATTGTGGAGATGAATGGAAAAACAATAAAGCATACTTCTATATTTGATTGTGAAGCTTAGTTAATATTTAGAATCTAATAATTAGAATGTTTGAGGTGGATATTTAAAACCCTAAAATTGGATTTTTGTGCGTGCAAATCCCATTCCTAAAACAAATATTGATATGCTAATGCTGAAAAACTGATATGCTAATTCGTTTTTTTTTCTTTAAATTTTATTATGTATTTTAATTTTATTATTTATTTCACTTTAATTATTTATTTTAATTTATTATTTCTTGCTTTTTATTTATTTCAATTTTATTCTTTTTTATTAAGTATTTTGAGTTTATTTATTAGTTCAATTATTTTTATTTTACTTTATACATTTTACTTTATTATGTATTTCAATTTTTTTTATCCTTTATTTTATTTTACCATACATCTATGCTAACTTCATAATTAATAATTATTTAAACATTCCTTTCATTTTATAAATTTCTCTTCACTTAATGTTACAGAGTTAATATTAAATTCAAGAAATAAATCTTAGGTGTAAATCAAGAGATGCACCCTTGTACTCTTAGTATCTATTCATGGTACTTTTGTATTCTCTCTCTTAGGATTGAAATTGAAATAAAGCATTATAAATTTGTGTTAATAATATAAATAGTAGATATTTTGTGCCAATTTTTTTTCTAAAAGAATTTAGAGTTTTTTTACATTTAAATTGTAAAAAAAATATTCTAAGAAGTCACTAGATACTAAGAATAATTTTTATCCTTTATTATATTGAACAATTTTATTTTACAATGCATCTATATTATTTCCTTATTTTATCGTTTGATTTATTTTACAAATTTCTCTTAATTTAATATTGCAACTTTAATATCAAATTAGAGAAGGAAAACTACAAAAATATACCTCTACATAAAAATATTGGAATATGTATTTTAGTATTTTATATACTCATAGTACATGCTTATGGTATTTACTCATATAATATCAAATTAGAGAAGGAAAACTACAAAAATATACCTCTGCATAAAAATATTGGAATATGTATTTTAGTATTTCATATACTCATAGTACATGTTTATGGTATTTACTCTTATTTTCTATTCATGGTATTTTTGTCTTTTCTCTCTTCGAATTAAAATTAAAATAAAGTATAAAAATTTGTTTTAATAATATAAATAGTAGATATTCTGGGTCAAATTTTTAAAAAAAGAATTTATGAAATTTTTTTTTTTGCATTTAAGTTTTAAAAAAAATAATTTTTTTCCAGACTCCAGAACCCGAACTGTTTCTAAAGGAAGGTAGCTACACGGGTCCGAGCAATTGGTCACAAGGTGAGGATAGTGGGCTAGAGGAGAGCCTAGCTGACAGCAACAGTCAGAGGTCACACGACAGAGGTAATATCGCAAGTTTAATTGACAATCTTTGGCATGTATTAAACACGTTATTTGATGACTTTAAACTTTGAGTATTTTTTGTAGTGCTATTAAATCAAACATTGTTATGCTTTTATTTTTTCTTACTCAGAGCATGCGTCATTTATACCAATAATGGCTCAAAAGGCGTTAATAATTTAGCCCTTCACGCTCGTCAAAAACCACAATTTCGTTAAAGCCACTTAGCAAATAATTGACAGCCTACGGAAAAAAAATCCTGGAAAAATTACCGTACTGTTTGGTAATGGCATTTCTGGTAAAAAAGAATAGAAAAAAAACCCCTTATAATTCTGTTTAATAACACCAAAATATACGGCTTTTAAACCATTCATGGGGTAATTTTTCCGTACATATAGTAACGCTTTACTGGAAATTTTGGTCTTCAAAATTAAACTTTTTATTTCTACACATTTAGTAAAAAATGCAAAATCAAAGAAAAAAAATCAACCGAATACAACCGAAAAATTTAACCGAATAATGATATTTATGTCATGTTCTAAGGTTTTATGATAAAATTACTACATTTCACCTAATTTACCAAATTTTATCACATATTATAAAGCATATTTCATCATTGATTCTACCAAATTCATTACCAAAGCACATTGGTAGAACTTACCAAACTTTTTGGTGCTCCTATAGAATCAGAAACACAACAAATATTACCATATTCTGGTTCTTACACTTATACTATTTTCATACTTATTTTCTGAAAGCAAGTGTAAATAAAATTTGGAATTTTTTTTTTCCAACTGCATGTGAGATATTAAATTCAAATATGAAATTTTAATACATCTTAAGTTTTACGACAAAAACTTCGAGACAACATTTTGAAAGTTAAAAAAATTTGCAACTCATCCGATGTCCAGGTGACGAATTCTTGAATNCTATAGAATCAGAAACACAATAAATATTACCATATTCTGGTTCTTACACTTATACTATTTTCATACTTATTTTCTGAAAGCAAGTGTAAATAAAACTTGGAATTTTTTTTTGGAAAAAAATTTGCAACTTATCCGATGTCCAGGTGACGAATTCTTGAATCTGAAAAGAAATTCTTATCTGTCTCAGCAATAATTGTTAATTATTTGTGTCCCATTCCCTTTTAATTTTTCTCTTTTCTCATTCTCCTTTAATATATTTTTTTAATTTGTCTTATTCCAAGCAAATATTATTTTTTAGGGAATAACAAAACGTTTTAAAATTTTACTCAATGCATTTTTCCAGCTACTCCGGAGAGCCTAACCGATGACCCTCTCATCCTTCCGAAATTGACCGATTACTTGGACGTTCCTGTGCGGGCGGACCTCGATGATCCAGGTGGACGGTCCTCGATGCCACCAGGCGCGATGACAGTCTCCATGTCGGTGGATGATCTCTCCTCAGCAAATCTTTTTCAGCGAGGTCCAGGTATTCGTAAAGGGGAGACCCCCCGTATTCGACCCATTCGAGCAGACCACCGATACAGCAGTGAGGACGTGCGGTTCCGCAGAGTTAGAGAACATAGCATAGAAAAGAAAAGACAAAATGACAGCTACATGAACAACGATGAGTTCGAGAGATCAATGAGGGGAAGCAGTTGGAACAGGTAAAGATCTTGAAAATGGGCGTCTGTTTTTGAGCGCTTCAAACTGCCCAACTGTTTTTTTCTTCCTATTTATATATTTTTGAAGCGAAAGAACTTTTTAATCTATTAATACATTGTCGCTTCAGCTTCTTGGGATTATTTATTTAATAACTGAAATGGTTTTCTTTGATTATTTTTTTTTAAAATCTTTAATACGTAAGTTTATTTTTTCAATTAAACTGATCTTTTTTTCTCCATTCATTGTTACAATACCAAAATAATAATAATATTTAGCTAATTCGAAAATACCTATTTTGATACTATATCATTGGTAAATAACAAAAAGATTTAAGACATTTCTATATTTATTATAGTATTATTCTGATAGTGTTAAAATATTATTACTGGATTGAATTGTACTTAAATTCTTGTTTAGATTTTTTAAATATACTTTGCATTGATATTTTTTAAAATATAGTTAAAGCATGAGCTGTTAAATTTTTTTTTTTGGAGTTTACAAAATAATTAAAAAATAATAATTTTTTTCCCTTAATTTTTTTTTGCAATAAATTTTTGTAACATTTAAATTGAAACAATTGCAAACATTAGGGAATAAAGGAATATTTTAATTTTTTTTCCCCCTTAACAGTATAAGGTAAATTATCCGATTTTAGTGAACTAAAAAATTCAATAAGTTAGCACTACAGGGAAAGGTAGGAAATGCTATACTACGCCTTTGAAAAGTAGTTCTTCGCTATTTTGGAATTAATTACGGTTTAAATGTGGGTACAAATATAGATAAGTGTTGTATAATAAGAAAAGTTTATCTTGAAGCATGTATTAGAGGTTTTATCATGTTTAAATGTATTTAACTTATAAATAAACTATAACTTATAATAAACTATAACTTATAACTAATGTAATTAACTTATAAACCTTCACAGGAAAGTGAATGTATAAAGAAGAAGGCGTTTTAATTTGATGATGAATTAGTTTCCAGTGACGAGGAATTGGCGCGTTGGCTATGTTTTTGCACTGGTCAGCGCTTTCTGTCACTCGCTTTGTTAATTGTTCTTTTTTTTAATTAGTTATTAACTGTCAATATTTTTTGTTGCTAGTTATTAATTGTTAGCTTGTTTTTGTTATAGTTGTTAAATTTTTTTTTGCATTTATTGTTAATTCTTTTTGTGATTCCCTGTTAGATTGTTTTTTTTCTTTTTTTTTTTCTTCTGCTAATTACTAAATGTTAGCTTGTTTTTGTTTCGTTAGTTATCCGTTGTTAGCTTGTTTTTGTAGTTATTAATTAAGCTTTACATCGGATTCTTAAGGAGTTGGGATTTTCTTTCAAGAAAAGAAAAATGCAATCTTCTCTTATAGAGAGGTTTCTTTTAGAGATATTTTTAGGTAGGCTCTTCTGTTTCGTAGAAGCAAATATATTTCAGAATGCAAGAGAATAATTACTTTTATAATAAAAAAGAACTTTTCCTAAATAAAGGTGATTTCTTTATTTATAAAAAGGACAGTAAATATTATAAAACATACATATGATCGTTTTCATGATCAATGGTTTTATGCTCATGTTGACTTTTCCTTCCCGCACAAAACACCAATGTAGGATAAATTAATATCTATAAATCAATTTAAAAAAAAAAAGGTTCCACACAAAATAAATATCTAAAGTAAAGTATTCATGAGCAACTGTGTGTTTTTTTAAATTATTTTTTTACTTTGATTTCATAAAAAAGATTATCTTCTTAAAATTAGTTTCGCTTGGTTAAAAAATATTAATAAGAAAATCTGTTTTTTAAGAATCATGATAAGAAATCAGCTAACAATTAGTATCTCAAATCAATTATTATAAGAAATGCTCTAAAAAATCTTGTTTTTTTTCTGTATTTTGTTCAATATTTTAGTAAGATTATTAGGTGAAACGGAGTATAGTGTAAAATAACTACTTACACATCTGGCGGGTCAAGACAATTTACGAACATCAGCATTTATTTTTAGAACTGAGAAACAGAATTACATTTTTGTTTAAAACTTACCTACAATCACGATTGTAACTGTAAGATAATTAAACTACTGAGCTCCGTTACATATTATTTTTAACAACTTAAAAAATATATTTTTAAAAAGTAGTAAAATATCCCTAAAAAAATAATTCAGAGTGTTGATTTAAGAATGCAGCTTTATCTGCAAACAGTAAAAAGTAAAAAAAAAGAAAAAAAAAGTACTACATTAATGATAATGTTTCTATAAGTTGTTTCATATTTCCAAAACCGTTATTTCAAGCAACAGAAACAAATTAAAATGCAATAAAGTAAAGTTATTAACTTTCAAGCGGAATTCAATTATTTAATTTTTATTTTATTTTAATCAGAATGAACTCAAAATTTTCAATTTAGAGTTTTTTTTAAATTTTTATTTATTTAAATTTATTTAAAATATTGATGACTGTTTTAAAAAACGTAATAAAAACAATAATAAACAGTTCCACAATTAAAATGATTGTCAAAGAATATGTAACCATGAATCGGCTCAAAAATACGTTACCTTTTTACATATAAGCAATTAGGTGTTTTAATTTTAAAACAATATTTCTTTCATGCTAGACATGCCTATTCAAAATTAAACAGCAATTCATGAAGAAGGAGAGTTTGACAATGGTGACTTCATGGTTTACATATATTATACTTTCTGTAACAGAAAATACAAAACTTTATAAAAAAAATTAAATACAATTCATCTTAAATAAAATAAAATTATCTGAAATTAAATTAAATTAAATTAAATTAAAATTAAATTACATTATAATTACTTTATTTTATATTAATTATAATATAATTATTTTATTTTATTTATTTTTTATTTTTTAATCTATTATATTATTTTAATATTTTTCCACTAGGAAATGAAACGTAGAAATTTATCTTTTTTCTATATTGATATCAATTTAGCGTTAAAAATAATATATTTCTTTACTTATTCAATTTTTCATTTTATTTTGAAAAATCATAAATTTTTTTTTTTTGGAAGGAGATGAAGTTGTTTTTTTAATAATTATTATTGTCAAAAATAACATGAATAAGCATAAAAAGTATAAGCATAAAGTTAAAAAAAAAAGAAAAAAACAGAATTAGATTCATTATGCTATTGGTATAAGAATTTAATGATGGTTTTAAATTATGCAACAGCTTTTTCCTGAAAGACACGTTTAAAATTTTATCAATAGATGGCAGCACTATAAACTAGACAAATCACCGCACATCCATAAAGAACAAATCCATAAAGAACAATCCAAATCCATAAAGAACATAAATTTGTAGATTAACATTTTATTGTTTTCTTGATTTTTTTTAATAAAAGCAGGACTACTAAATGTTAAAAGAAACTAAAACGTTTCATAATTTTATGTTTCTCTAGTCGTGTTCTGGATCATAAGTTTTAAAATTAAATTCGTTTTCAATATAAGCCGACAGATGACAGCACAGCGAAAAGTTTCATTCAAATGTCAAACTGTTTACAGTTTTGCTAGCAATTAGAAATCAATAACATCAAATAAAGGTAAGTTGCGCAATTCATTTTTCCTGACTTTTTAATTATTACCATTTCTTTTTCTTTATTAAAATAAAAAAATATGATATGGATAAGACTAGGTTCTTATAAATTTAGCTGTAATTTCATTTTTTACAATTCAATTTAAAAAAAAAAAAATTTGCATTTTTATTTGAGACATGTTATTATAGATTCTACATTTTTTTTCATTAACTTCAAGATTTATTTTCTCAAGAAATATTGCAATAATTGTATGTATTTTCTTAGACTGAGAAACGCGTGTTTCTTATGGAGTATCTTTATGAGAAAAAATTACATCCGAAAAATCTAAACATTTAAAAGTACAACACTCATTAAAATAATAAATTTGCGTCTTTTTCATTATATCAATAAATAAATAAAAAAAACATGCATCTCTAAACTTATATTTATTAAAATATACTTACTACGATGAGAAATTATTTCAGGAGTATTATAAGTGCGTTAAAAATACTAATAATTAAAAGGAACCAGTTAATTATTTCATCAAATATACAATACATTGCATGTCTACGATACACTATAATGATTTGAATGAAAAATAAAGCATTGCTTAAGAGCTAAATGGCTATATCATATTCAAGCGCAGGAAAAAAAACTGTGAATATTTGGAATAGGTAAGAAATTTTCTTGTTTTTTAAACAACTTAACAACGTGTTCTCGTAATTTCTTTTATTGAATCAGACATTTAAACGATATTATTGTTAGTGTTCATTTACGAAGACCAAAAATTATTGAGAATTAACTATTTGGATGGATACAAACCTACTACAAATTTAAAAAAAAAAAAAATTATGCTTGCGGTTTGCCATACACAATAAAGAGATGCCCTTTTGTAAAATAAAATAAAAATAATGTCTTTTTTTTCTGGGCATATTTATGTTCTCTAACTATACTCATATTTTTTTTGCATATTTCATTATTTGCAATCAAAACTTAGCTTAATAATCGCATATTTGTCAGCTTTTACAGTATCATTATCAATATGTTATTTAGGAAAGCTCATACAGGTTTGCGGTTGAATAAATAACGTACAATTCAACGCAGTAAGCATGAAAAAAAAAAAAAAAATTAGGTAATTAACTTTTGCGATGCCATGAATTTGTATTATTATCTATGCCGAATTAAAGAATCACCCTACATACCTTTATAATTTTACCCTGCTTATCGTGTTGTTTTTGTGTTCTTGATTCTGAAAATATTAGTTCTTCTTATACCTCTTCACTCGAATTTTCATCGTATTTCTTTTTTATCTGTTTTAAACTTCCTAATATAATTTGATTTTTACTTGAGAAAATCGAATATTTCAGCATGTTGTTCTATTACAACAAACATTCAGAATGTTTGTTGTAATAGAATTTTAAATTTCTTCATTAATATATACTTTCGATGACTATAGAATATTTTATTAGTTTCAAATCTTAAAGTATATGAGTATTTATTTAAAAAGCGTAGCAGCAGAAGCTACATCCATTGACTGTTAATCATAAAATTGTGAGTACTTGAACTTTTATTTATTTATTATTTTTCTCTTCGGAATTTTTCCGAAGATCAGTCTTATTTATTGCCTATGGCAATTTTTTCAAAAGTTTTTCTCTCGGCAATGGTTTGTATATCTGTCTGATTTTATTCATTGTGATGATTAAGAGTTTTTTAGCATTTTGTTTTAAACAAAATTAAAAGCCAAAACTCATGACAATTAATGAAAACTACCACTGTTCTATCAATTTAAAAATTTCAAAAATTTTTTTTCTACAAATAAAAATAGCTTTCTTTATACTTAGTTTTATACTTAAGCATTTTTTTAGTGGTTCTGATGAGCCAAGCCATTTGAAAGATTTGAAGCATAAAAAAGAAATTTTAAAAGCAAGAAATATCAAAAAATTTAGTTTCTAAATTTTCAAAGAATACATAAATCTAAATGCTGACATAATACGGTAAACTAAAATGCATAATGTATAAATTGAAGTATTTTTTAAAAAATTATTTTAAAATATTTATAAAAACCAACCGGATGGAGAAAATAATTGTTTAATTAGAAATATGAGGGAAGAATTAGATATTTTGTAAAAAAAGTAAGATTTGAAATTAAGAAGAATTTTTATTAAAAAATAATTTCAAACAAGAAATTATTATTTAAATCCATAAAATTTTCAAATTCATTTTAATTTTAAAAACTAAAAAACATAAATGAGTTTTAAAAAGGGTTGTCTTAAAACTATTTTTCATTTCAGAAACTACTTAATTTGTTTGAATTTGAGTATTATAAACTTAACCCTTATTTTGAAAAAGTCTAAAATCCCAAAACTAATGTTAAGCTTCTGAAAAACAATAATGTAATTGACGTTTCCCAATGATATTAGCGTAATAAAATAAAATTTAGCGAAGTAATAATTGAAATTTTTTTTTCCAGACTACCAAAGTGTTTGTAATTATCACCATGGAAACGAAAGGCTTAGCTGAGTGTTTTTATTTAATTCTTGTGATTTTTCTCCGATATTTAAGGAATAAAACAGCCATTGCTTTGCACTCAGTTTCAGCCATAATGTATTACTGACACACCGATTTATTATATTCCTGCCCTCTATTAGTATGGGTAATGTGCGATTAAAGAAAGGAAATAGCGGAAAGTGGTTAATGAGATTTTGTTAAGCTAACTCTACATTGAGAAATGTTTTTATTATATTTGGATATTTAAATATTCCATTGTGCTTGAAATATGAAAATCTAATAAATTTTGGATTCAATTCATAAATTTGTATGAATGTGTTAGGTACAAACACGAGGCATATTTGTGATTATATTTTTCTCCTCCTTTTTCATATTTTTTATTAAGGACGGAGGGCGGTTAATTATGTTATGCTAAGCAAGCTCTATATTGTGAGAATCGAAAATGTTATTCCTTTACGATATTTGAAACCATGCAAATGAAGTATAAATATATGAAAATATCATTCAGCTATTTGATTTAAATTAAATGCGTAATTTAATACATGAGACATATTTGTGTTTTTCTTCATATTCTACAATGCATAAAAAGTCGACCGGGCTGTGTGGGGGTTAGGGAGCTGCCTTTGCAACAGAAAGGTTCTGGGTTCGAATCCCGGGCAAGGCATGGATGTTCTTTCCTTCTCTGTACTATCTGTCCTTACTGTGGGAGCGACGTTGGCCCACCTAATATGGTGCCCCTGAAAGAGTGGCCAACAAATCTGCCCTTCAGGTGACCTAGGTCAATCTCCAGGTGGGAACTGGAAAAAAAAATCATAAAAAAAAGAAAGAATGAAATCACTCACAACACTTGATCATAAAATTATTCACAGTCCAAAGATTTGGGATAGTTGGAAAATCTACTACCATTAGTCAAATAATTGTTTGATTAGTTAGATACGAATAAAGGTCAAGTTTATGATGACTCGTTCCCTTGTAAAGATTGTTGTTAGATTGTTGACTTAAGGATGGATATATNNNCGTAATTAGTTTAAATAATTAACTATTATAAATATCTAACACTGATAAAATCAATATCCTAACTAACTTTTGCTAAAAATCGCTAGATTAAAGTGAATAGAAAAACATCAAAGAATTGAATATAAAATATTTTTTGATGAAATAGGTATAGTAATTATAATATACATAACTATTATATTCCTTCTTTAAATATTTCTTTTTATTTAATTAATGTTGGAAATGAGATTATATAATTGGTTAATTCTAATTCTAATGATTAAATCAAAACTCACATTTTCCTTTATTCAGTTTGTATTTGTTTAGAGCATTATGTTTCAGTGAAGGGGCTTATGCTCAAAAATTCTGTTTAAGCCTTTACTTATCTTTATTACAGTAGAGCACGTATTTTGTATAAGACTAATGATAAACAAACTCTATTTCTTTACACGCAATTGTATGCCCAGAATCTCTGATTGCTTTTAATTAAAATTCATTCTAGATTCCTTTCAGAGTCACTGCAGAAGACACTTTGTCTTATTTCTGTGACTTTCTTTTTCTTTCTAGACGCCAAAAGCGCAACTCATCAAAAGAGCGAGGTGGAACTCAACTTCCAACATGGGCAGAAACAAGAACTACTCGATTGCGTCGAAGTCGAGCACTTGGAGAAACCAAACCCCCTAACCAAGCACAAAAGGTAAGACATACCTGAATAAATATCGTTTTATATTTATAACATGCAGACCATCAGAGAAATTGAACTCAGGAAAATCAGCTCAACAATTTTCCTCCAGCATATTTTCTGATCAGGACATTCAGTCTTTAAATGATTAAGAATATACTTTGAAAATATGTAATAATTATTAGATTATACCAGTCAAGTTTCAATATATTGTTATCAGCAAGAAATCGCAGTGTTAAAACTGTTTTCCAAATAATATATAAATTTGATTACAGAAAGTAATTGCGTTTAAAATAATGTTTTCCTTTAATTTGGATTGAGAAATGAGTCACTTTGACTTATTTGCAATTCCTTATGAAATTTCCTTATAAAAATTCCTCACAAATAATAATAATAATTGTAAATTAAAAGAACATGTTAAGATGAATTTAATGATGTGGTGAGAGGAATAATTGTTTTGAGAAAATCAGCAAATTTTGATATTTAGATGTTACCATGCATTAAACTTTTTTTTATCAGAAAACTAACATTTGCTGCGTTGTTTTAAAAACATTCTTAAGGCAAAATTAACAACTAACATTCACAACACGTAACAAAATATGCTATCATGCTCATTTTGTTTTCAATAATTAAAGAGAAAACTTAATTAAAGAATTTAAAAATAATATTTACTTATATATTTTTTGTTTAGCTGAAAAAGTTGTTATAATGAAACCACAGACAATCACAAGAAACGGATTTAATCACTCATTTTCTGATTTCTGCTGCAATTAGCAATTATATTTTTTATGTTCTTATGTGGAAAAGAAACATTATGGATTTTTGTCGGGAAATATTAATGTCTAATTGGATGATTAATGTCTTTTAAGATGCAAAATATTGGCTTAAAGTGTAAAAACTTTGACGTATTTCTTTTTTCTTTCGTAGGGGGATATAAATGACTCAATTGAGTATGAACTCAATAAATATATATACGAAAATAATGTGCATAATTCTTAAATTGTATGACGGTTTAATTCGTTGATCACGTGATTTGTAAAACTATAGTTGTTTTAATATGGGAACTAGTTGGTCCTGTTTAGAAAAGCTACACTAGTTCAACGAATGATTATTATAAGCCGTTTTCCGTTGCTTTTTATTACCCTATATCTCTTAAATTTTATGAGCTATTTTATGAAGAAAAATTCTTTAAATACATTTATGGAAATTTAAATCTATTGTATGGAAAATGAATAAACTACAAAAACTTTGCTGAATTTTTGTTAGATACAACGTAATCAAAAATGTTTGAGTGTTCCCACTAAATCTTTTTCGTGTGAAATTTTTTTTAAATAATTGAAGCCGTTTTGTATGTTAATTCTTAATTTAGTTAAAATTATGACATCAAAGGGGATAAAAAGTACATGGATTTTCAATAAAACTAAAGAACTTCAACAAAAACTACCGAGATTTTTGGTGTTCCCATAGAGCCATGGTAAAATTTGACATATTCTGGTAATTTCGATAATTGTTTTGAAAAGTAATTTTGAAACATTTTACAAATCAATATGATCTATAATTTATATTAATTAAATCAATTGATAAGAGTGAAAGTTTAGAAATGAGCTTCCATATATTAAAAGAAACATTTTGCACAACTATACAAAAATAACGAGGAAAAAAATAGGTGACACAAAAAAATACTTTTGCTGTAAAAAGTAAAGACATTGAAGCAAATACATTTCAATAATTGAGAAAGGAATATTTCGTATTGAATGAGGTCGGCAGATGCTTTTTTTTAATTTTAGTAGAGGGCTTTCATAGATTTTTTCGTACATATTAGAATCCACTATCTTATTCTAACAACACTTAAAGAAATATTATTTTGAGACTTATTGTTTTTAAAGTCGTACAGAAATGGAAAACACCCTGCTGTACAGTTACTTTTATTTCAGGATTGGACGTGTAATATTAGAGGTAAAAATTTGTTAATTTCTGAATGTTAATTTCTCTCGGCATTTTCCCATATTTTACTTCAAATTTTATTTTCATTTATTTTAAAAATTTATTTTAAATAATCTGGTTTTAATATTTTAATACATTTTTTTAATTGTCAATTTTTTGTTGCTTTTTAATGCTTTATAATTGTAAATAAATACAAAAATATTTTGTTAGAGTAGAAAAAAAACTTTTTATAAGTTATAGGTTTTCTGAAGATGAATTGTTATGGATTTTGGAAGTAAAATACACAGTAAATGAGTAAAATTTTAAACACATTGATATTAACGAAAAACAAGGGTGAAAAAACAAAACTGTATGAATTTTATTATACGTAATTGTAAACTGGAACTGTAATTCATAATTGTAGACTTGTAAATAGAAGTTATTTATTAGAAGTAGCACATGACTTATATAAATTGCAAATAAATACTAAACTTTATATACACGTCGTTACACATTTTTTTTCAAACATGTTCTTTTCTTGCTTGTAAAAATTACACGCAGAGAGAAAATTTAATGCACTATTTAATAGAGTTATAAGGGTTAAATAAATAAACTTATTTTAAAAGAAACTGGATTTTTAAAGCTGTAAAATATGGATTAGGAGTAAAGAATGGATTCTCAACAAGAATTAATATAATAAAATTAAACTTATCCATTACGACTTATATAAATATTATAAATATGTTGTAATTCTGTATAGCATAGATTAAATGATACCATATGCATTATATAACACTTGACATTCACAAAAATCTTTCTAATATGATGATATTTCTTTTGGTAATCGGAATTTTTACTAAAAGTATGAAGCGGCAATGTTTTATACAACAAATAACAAAAATATATAATGTAAGTGTAGTGGTGATATTAAGCAACTTATCCGTTTCGTATTGGGCTAAAAATCTTATTACTACAGTACCTATATCGGCGATTCCAACAGTGTTCAATACAATATTTATTTAAGCATCACTGGCGTCAATAATAGTTTGGTGATTTTTACGGCTTTCGAAATAAGTACCGATCTTTATTCGTCAAAAATCAATTATGAAATAGTGACGCTATTAATTTTTTCGAGAATAGCTATAAATTTAATTTTGATTATAGGTAATAAGAACTTAATAAATGAGGGAAACTGGAAGAGCTTTGATTCGGGTCGGTCCAGATTTCAAAAGCTACTTGGGGCGGCCTAGGACTGTAACAGGCTGCATTGCCTTGAAAGAAGAATAGGTACAAATTGCAATAAAGAAATAAACTAAGTCTTAAAAAGATAATTCAATGAAAAAAAATACTTATCCGTATGTGAAAACCGCAAAAAATTGTGATTCTGTTATTATCGCCAATGATGCTTAGTTAATTTTGGTGATAGACACTACATTTATTAAGTCCATTGGTCTTTTTCATGTGTACTAATTATATTAATATTGGTACTAAGATGCTATATCATACTATAGGTACCAAAATAGCCCACTATAAGTACTGTGGAAGTAGGATTCTTACGACCCAACGAAAGGGATAGGTACCAAAGGAAATTTATGATAATGGTAATTTTTGACTATCGACTGTGATCTATATATAATAATAGCATTATGAAAAATGATACTGATTATATTTAATCCTTATTTTGATAAGAGAAAATTTTGAAAACATTAATCTAAAAACGTAAAGTCACCAAAAAGGGGAATGAATACTAATAATATAATTTTGGCTAATTGTGTCGGCTTATGTGTTTCAGCTTTGAGCATGATTTCTCAATGTCGATCAATACCAATTTATTGATTATTTACTTTTTTCCAATCAGTACGGAAAACGGGTATTCAGCTGAGGAATAAATAAAAGAAAAAAAACATTCCATTTTGTATTCATACATTATATTTAATATATCTGTTAGTTTATTAACCTTTTCTATTTAAAGAAAATGAATTGTCCTTAAAACATTTTCGTCACGGTATAATTTTTCTTGTTAGTTTACAACACATGCATTTCATATATACAAAAAGATCCTTTTTTCTATAGCATACGGCAAAGAAAGCATCATCAAAAACAGATAATAACAAACTTCCTCCTGCAACTCGCCACCAGCCACTCGATGCAGAATACGAAGCGGAGGTAGACGATGATGATGCGGGGAAGATTTTAATGGAAAGGATTCGGGCTAATTCAAGATGCCTAAAAGCCCAACTTTCATCCCACCACTCCCATAGACGCACAGTTTCTGAAACGGGTACAGCGAGTCAAGAAAGACCTTCCAGAGAAAAAAAGACGGATAGTCAAAAAAATGGAAAAGGTAGATAACATTTTCTATTTGTATCAATATGTTTATTGTATTATTACAAACAACGAACTTGAATGCTTTAAATTGCATTCGGCAAAGAACTAGTCAAATGCCAACATTTCAAAATTATTTAATTGACAATTGAATATTTTAAGGACCAAAAAAGTTTTATTCTATTTTTGATTAAAAAATTTATTATTTTAATTTTCAAGATAAATTAGCTCTGTATCAAAAAAGTTTCGCCTAGCCTGCTTCTTACTTTCATAACTGAAAAACTAAAAGATGATGCAGTATGAAAATTTGAAAATAGAACATTTGATAAATATTTTGTTATTAAAATATTTTGATGAGATTATTAGTGAGTTATTTCATGTCAAATTAAAGGTATTTCCATTTGTGCTGTTTAATTCAGTTCGGGAAAAACTATTAACAGTGGGATAAAAAATTTTTTTGTAATCATGAACAAATATGTCTAAAAATGAGAAAAACTCTCTTTCTTTGTTTAAAGTTTAAATTAATTAAATATTTTATATTGAGAGTTTTTCGGATTTTTTAGTGTAAAGGAAAAACTAGATGCAATTGATTTCAGCGCATTTATGCCAGCATGTTAGATGAAAAGATATTGTCAATCTAATTATACCACTTAAGAAGAAATTGTAAAAAATTTCCATTTTCTTTATCTAAACATATGTTAGAATTATTTTTTAAAAAATTTAAATCTAGCCTCTAATATAAATAATATCAATTATAAAATATATATTCGAGTGTACGCTGGGGTATTAGACAAGATGAAAGCGGATATAGCGAAGAATAAGTCAGCACAGATTACAAAGTGATATGAAATGAACTGAATAAATGATTTGAAGATTCAGCAAGTGAAAGAAATTAGGGAGTAGAGCTCACTATTTTATTTAGAAATGACAAAGTTTTTTCTTACTGCATTAATCAAAAAACAATTTTACACGCTAATTCAAATTTTTTTATATATTATAATATTGGAATAATCTTTCTCCAAAATTCAGTGAACTCTTAAAGTAGTAATGAAAAAACAAAAATCGTTTCTAACAATATCTAATTTCTCGAAACAAAAAGAAGTCTCTTAACAACCCAAACAGTCTCCTCCAGGAAATGTAATTTCTAGAAAACGCTCATCTTCCCCCAACCAAGTTACATGATGGTCATTACATTTCTTTCTCCACAGCTCATAACGGAGTCTACACGATGCACGCAAGAAGGAATCAAAAGAATAACTCGGAGGACAAGACGTCTAATCATACTTCTTCAGATGGCGCCGCAACCTCAGAAGTCGAGTCCACCACCATTAAACTTGTGGACGAACACGGGCGAGAAATTTCTGGAGACAGTTCGGAGGTCGCACACAATGGAACCCCAGAAGATCCAGAAATTGTTCACCACCACACGCTGTCTGTGGATGGGAAAGACGGAAGAGCGGAAAGCAGTCATAATTCAGGTAAAAATGCTTATTGGATCAGTGCTTAGAACAGTAAAATTGAATTTAGATTTGAGTATTGATTAGAATCAATATTAAAATCAGCAATTCTAATGTGACGAATACGACATTTTTTAATGAATTCGAATCAAACTGTTCTACTCATTTCTTTATTACTTTTTTTGAATATTTAAATCTGTTAATTCTCATTAAGAAAATCAGTAAAGAGATTCTAATTTCTCTATTTTAACCAATGGAGAAATATGTCCTTATTCATTAATATTAAGTACAATCTTTTGGAATTTGTTTTTTCATCTCACACAGTAAAATATTTACATTTAAAAGTAGTTACTAAATTTTAGTTTTGAAGGTTGTAAGTGAAGACTTTTTCAAAGTTCTATGTTTAAAAATCACTTACAATCTTGAAGTCTGAAATTCGGTAACTAGACACATTAATAAACAATGAAAAGCATAAAAAATACAAAGCAAATATCAAAAATATTAGTTATTTGCTTATAAAATCAAGAAATCAGGTTCATAAGCTTATTGCTAGGTAAAAATGGGGTAAATTGGAGAAAACTTTAAATACCTATTTATTTTAATCTAATGATTTGAAATAATCTACTCATGTGAAGTTTTATTTTAGTTTCGACTGTTCTTCATGGTTTAAATTTACGCAAACTATTCGGTCGACTTTAATGAGTTTAACGATTTATTTTCTTCTTAAATGTCATTATTGATAAAATGTGGCTTTGGTGTTACAGAAAATTGATTCTTACGTGAAAAATAATATTTGCATGTATCTTTCAAATGTAATATATATTAAAAATTCTTCTTCAATTTAATTCTATTCCAAAAACGAAACCAAAATAAGAGAATAGTTACATTTAAATTTATAAAACAATCAATATAATTACTTTTATGTCAACAACTGAAATTAGTGATCAAGCTTTCAAATAACGATCACTCACAATAAGGTAATAATTAGTGTCAACCAAAAAAAAAATTTATTCAAGAAAAATGCATCGATGAATTATGTAATATATTGAAAAAAGTAATGCATGAAAATTGCAGTTTAAACTCAGCAAATTTTTTTTCAGAATATTGAAAACTATTTCTTTAATTATGCTACAAAAACTGTATTTTTGATGAATTTACATATTTTAAATAAAAATTGTTGATTTGTTTAATTTTCAACAACAAGTATAAGCCGTTTAATATAAAAAAATTTACTATTTGGATGAAAGACAAAAAATTCTTGAAAATTGTAATTTACCTTAATTTTGTATGTTTTGTATGACGACCTGTTTGGGAAAATTTTTAGACGGGGGAATATATAAAAATAAAATTGAGAAATGAGTTTTATTTATAAAAGAAGAATGGTTTCAAAGCAAAAATTAATTTAAAAATGACTGCTGTATAAGCTTTTTCATCTTTTTAAAATTTATTACGAAAACCTTTGTAGAGGCACGTCTTTCCAGTTTTTGAAATAAATACGATTTTAAAATTAACTAATATAACTTATATGTATCTCATATAAATATAACTTATAATTGTTTTGTATTTCTCTTTTATTTCAATATTTCTTTTACCTATTTGTTACCATCTACTAAGTGTGTACCTATCATGTGTACCTATTTGTTACCATCTACTAAGAAAAGTTGCGAAGAATAAATAGAATACGCACATATTTTTTTACCAGACACAGTACATGCACAGAAATATGTACTTATTAATATATGTGTATGTCATTTATGTCTATATATAACAGTATATGTAAGTATTTTCTCAACACTAATTAACTTACAAAGTACGCATTCAAAAGTATAATTTAAAATTTTAATTTAAAAGTATATTTTTATAACTCAATTTTTGATTTTGAATTTATCTCTGTTTTGTGAAATATGAATATTGTGCTTACATCATTGTAGTTTTTTAATTTACTTATAGCATTAAAACGTATTAGAAACCATGCTGGTTAACTCACCTTTCTGCTTCAGCAGTGTTAAGCAGTGTATTTATTCATTACTTACATATAAGATATGTCTTTTTAATTCCGTTTATAATTAATAAACTAATTTGAACTACTTTGGATATTTTATACGATTATATCTTTGCCGTTATAGTTTAGTGTGTTTTAACATTATAATGTGTTAAATTAGTCTAAGTATGGTACTTATAAAGTGTCTTATAAATTTAATTTAAACATTACTAAACTAAATTCATGCTAGCAGAGGTCAACTCGTTTTAACGGAGGATGGAATAAACATACATTCAAAATGCTAGGCTAATTTTAAGATTTACTTATTTCATATATTGACTCAATGTATATCTAATTACAAATTATACTTTGTTTCGTTTAAGGCTACAGTGGACGTTCAAAAAAATTTTTTTTAGTTTTTATGCTACACTAAAACTTTTTTTATAACTTATGTATTCTATCAAGATATGCCCTTGCAAAAAGTTTTGTAAAAAATATTTGGACCACTTTTGAGAAATTTAAAATTTTTTTAAAAAAATTTCATCAATTTTAAAATGCTCCCAGCGGCTTAAATTAAAATTTTTATTTATTTTTTTTTAATATTCTTTTTTTAGAGATAAATGTTAAAAGCTTTATGCATTATATAGGAATTTTCCTAAATTTATTTTAAATTTATGACCAAAAAACAAATTTTATGTAGATTTTTGTTTCAAAATAAAGGTCGTTAGGTACATGAAACCCGATAACTCTTTTATTACTTGTTATAAAACAGAAACAAATGCATAAACTTAATCTAATATACATATAAATAACTAGAAAAAAATTTCATCTCAATAGGATGAAAACAAAGTCGACTGGAACATTTTGAATACGTGAAACATAACAAAATTTCAATTTTGAGAAAAACAGCTTTTTGTGTAAGAAAAGGGGCGTGGCTTCATAATGTGAAAACGAAACTACCCTATAACTTCTCAAAAAATGACGAAATTTAAAAAAAAAAAAATTCAGTTGAAAAAGCAATGAAACAAGTGTCTAAATATGTCCAAAAAAAAAAACCGAAATTTTTATCAATTTTTGGCAATATAAAGGTCCACTGTAGCCTTAAATACTTCTTAAATATGAAGATTTCTTTTTTCAGATTAATTTCGTAATAAATGTGTACTGAGAGGAAAGCATTGCTATAGCTTATTTTAAAACCTTTTCTTGTGAAAAATATATAAGTGAAACAGTAAAAACTATATGTTACGTAATTAAAGTGGTATTTAATATTTTTCTACCAAACTTAACCTAAAAAAAAAATTTTTGTTATGGCGTTATATATAATAAATATGAATTATTTTTTGCTATTAGTGAATTAATATGCCTATTATTCTATTTTTCAATAAATCTTATCTTTTATACATATTACTTAAATTTTAAAATATTTGCAGTTAAATCAAATTATTTCAAAGAATTATAATGGTTAGAATTATTTGAAAACATATTCTTGATTATCATGTTTATAACTTATTAGTATAGTTGGATAAAAATTACTATGCAAATATTTATATTTCATTTATATAACTTTTTTTCAGATATCATTTATACAATTGTTAACCTTAATTGTGTCAAAATATCAGAATCTTTTTAAAACTCTATATTGTCTTCAAATAAATTATTTCAAATAACTTATAAAATAATTTTTGTTATTTAAATAGTTTTATTTATTTATTTATGTTTAGAGAATGTTTGATTTCTGTATAAAGCTTTAAAACTTTTTTCTTATCGTAATTGCCATTTTTTATTTATTTAATGAATTTTTTTTCAGCTCTGTCAAAAATGTTTTCAATAATACTTTACCATAAATAATTTTTAATATAATTTTATATTAACTATCACCAGTCCAAAGCTATGTTGTAATTTAGTTGTGTTAATATTATATGATTTTTATTGAGTTATTTAGTTATTTTATTTAGTTGTGTTAATATTGATTATTTTTATGATTTTTATTTATATTATATGATTATTATATGATTTTTTCTTATAATGCAATTTTATTAAATTATCTAGTTATATATTCAGCGTAATTGTATTAACATTATACATAAAATTTATAACTAACTAAAAAAATAGAATTTGAAATGTATTTGATTTAAATGAGATGTAAAAAATATTGGCAGATAATATTTTCTTATTTGACCGTTCTGAATGGTGAATGGTGGAAAATTACCGTTCTGAATGGTGAAGATATTATTGTGAAAAAAGCATATGTAATAATAGTTCTGGTTATAGAACAAAAATATAAGGTATTTAATCGATTCATTTGCCAATTTATCTGGCCATATTGTAACGGTTTACCGGAAATTGTTGCTTTCAAAATTACAGTTCTTATTACCACACATTTAATAAAAATACAAAATGGAAAAATAATTTTAACCGAACAAAAGCCATGCTTAAATGTGTCTTGTCAATTATTAAATTTGAACACATTTATTAAATTTTTTCGCATAGCGTGATACCTTATTTATTTTCATTTTTTCTAAAATTATTACCATTGCGCTTCAGTAAGAATTACTAAGCTTTTTGATGTTCTCCTAGAGCCACAAAAAAGGTAAAATTTACCATATTTTGGTAGTTTTGACGATACTTTTTTTCTCAGAATACGAATAACGTTTATTAATAACAAGCTACTAAAGTGTGTCCCATCAACTAGTATGCTAATGTTATAAAATTGATAGATTTTGCAAAAAAATCTTATCCTAATATCATTGCAAACTTGCCAATTTTTACTTTTTCTGAGAATGGAGTTTCCAAAGAAGTAGTAAAACATTTGCCTGAAAATCAATCATACTCAAAAATATATTTATATTTTGACGATGTTGAAATTCGCTATCGTAAAGATTATTATGCTTTTATATATTTGATGTAATTATTTATATGTAGTGGTGGTCAAACTCATTTATAATTAAGAACTTTAATGGAAAAGCATGAGTTTTGCTAGCATTTTAAGTATTAAAATAAAGAATATTGAGAATAAGTTTAAGCGTATATGATCTACACTTTCATAGTTAAGATAGCAACTTCATACGGTTAAATTCAAACACTTGAATAAATATGTTACTCACGGTGATGCTAGCCCTAGAAGATCACATTAATTTATTTCCACTACTGAAGTTATATTTTAAGTTGGTTTTATAAACGTTGGTTAAAATGATATAGTTTGCTCAATATTATGTTCAAGTTTCTTATACATTGTTAGATACACGTAGTTTAAGAATTGATTTTTTCACATAGAAGAAAAACGGAAGGTTATAAACCTTACACATGAACAATCAAATTTTAAACAGTTGGCTTATTCTATTATCCTTCAAAACTTTTTGTTTGACATGTAATTTAAACTTTAAGCACGTGAAAACTAAAAGCAGCGAATGTTATGAAATATAATACAATTAATTTGTAAATTGAAAAAGCTTAAAAAAAGAAAATTATTAACACTATCTTACAATGTCAACTTTCATATTTTAGATTCCCAAAATGTACCTGGTGAGTTAGAGAATATTTCTGAAAATGATTCAAACAATCTGAACGTCAAAGACCAAAACGATAGTAACTCCAATCGAGGGTCAAGCATAAGTGGAAAATCGGACAACCATGATGGATTTTCGAACGAGCTTGCGGAAGGTCGTCTTATAAACGAAAATGGGAAATTGACAATTGAAGTGGAAGTCAAGGAGTTGGGCAGCAGCGAAGACAGTGGAGATACACCAGATGCAACAGGTGCCACCGTAGAATCGAACCTGACACCCATCCCAATAGATGATACAGGAGAATACGATAGTTACAGAGTATATTCAGAACAAAATTATCTGGCAGCAGCACCTGATGTCACCAGTGAATCTCCCCCCCATTCCAGAAGGCCAAGTAGATCGGATGTGCTGAGCAGGAATGAGAGCACTAGATTGGCAAGGGCTCGCCAAGCCAGGGGTGTCTATCTAAGGAGAATGGAACACAGAAACAGCCAGTCCAATCTGAACAGAACTCATTCGAATGATCAGAATTTGGACCGAACTGATGGAGGTGGATCTCCTTTAAGAAGGTATGGTGGCAATTCCAGAAGCATTTCTCATAACAGAAGGAGTGGGCAGCGTAAACTTGAAAAATGGAGTACTTCTGCTGCTTCTACTGGTGATCTGAGAGAAGCTGCTTGGGATTATTCGAATGATAGTGAGTTTTTCTTTTTTTATGAACATACAATTTCTTTCTCTTATTGCGGGAGAAACCTTTCATGGCAAATTCTGTTTTACCGAAATTAGTAATTTAAAAAATCAAGTTTAGAATAAAACGAGTTTAGGTAAATCTAGAGTTTATTATGTAGTTTAAAATGATGCAAAAATTATTTAAGAATATCTAAAGGCAAACAAGTCATGATAGGATTACACACAATTATACAGTAGGGAATTAATTCTGCCACGATTTCTCAGAGATTTTGCCATAATTTGAAATTACCATACTGCATGAACTTGGTATTTCTGGTAAAAAAAATTCTTAATTTTGGTTGCTAAAACCAAGGTATTTAAACCATTCATTTGGTAATTTTTCCGTTCGTAAGGTCATGCTTTACTGGAAATTCTGGTATCTAAAATTTAAAGTTCTTTTCACCACACTTTTAGTAAGGAATTCTAAACTGGAAAGTAAATTTAGCCGCATAAATGGTTTTATGCCGTGCTGTAAGATACCAAATTTAACCATATTCAACAGTTTTTATTATACATTATAAAATTATATTTTATTGTTAATTTTACCAAAATTACTTCCAAAGCACTTTGTTAAAAATTACCAAAAAATTCGGTCCTCCCAAAGAGGTGAATTTCGTCATATTCTGTTAGTTTTGATCATACTTTTTTCTCAGAGTCGTCTGTATTTTTATATTTTTGAAAAAAATATCAGCATTTGAAACTTCATAGTTTACTTGGAGTTTTATCTGACCTCCTTTTTTCCATAATATAAATTTTAAATTACAAACAAGGTTAAACAAAATTGAACATGAAGAGTTTCTCATAATAGTATAGCATCCTCTTAAGACAAATACTATCTACTCAATTGTAGACGTAGATCACTCTTTTAGTTCAATTTTACTCTCGAAATACTTATCGAAGTGTTGAGATCATGATTGTAAGGAAAAAAAATTATAGACTTTTTACCTTTAGATAAATTATTTATAATCGTTTGGGGGCATAAATGGGAAATAACACTAATAAATTCTGGGTAAATAGGAAATTTTTGAGCTAAATGTATAGATTGTTTTTAAATTAAATATAAAATTAAGTATAAAATTTAATATTATTACGTAAATATATTAGTAAGAGAAAACCCACAAAATAAAGTGAAAATGTATAATTATCGAAATTAAATATGCAATTGACATTAACGTACTACAACAAAAATTAAAATTAATAATATTGTTAGTAATTAGGCTACAAAGTATCAGCTCTTTCTTGTGATAGAATCGAAAGCCGTGTATACTTTACTTCGACAGTATTGATACTTTCTAGAAAACTTTATTTCGATACAAAGCTACTTATTTTCAATAAGAGTAAAACTGGTTCTTCCAAAATTTGCAGTAACAAAGCAAATAAAACTAGATTCTACACAATCTTCTCTTTTTTCAAAAAAAAATTGCAGCTAAAATGAAATTTTTGTTTGTAAAAACTATATAAATTATAATGATTTAACTAAATAAACTCTTTAAGTACATAAACTATATAACTCTATAGTTATAACTATATAACTAGTTGTGGAAAGCTGAGTATTCTTTTAGTTTTTCGTCATTTGAAATTAACTCAAAAACTGATTGCCTTACAAACAAAAATAAGAAGTTCTGCGACGATTGAGTACCAAGAAGTTGAAACTTTGTTAAACAGCTAAGCAGGTTATGTTAAATAAAACAGCATAACTCTGTTTTTAACTTTTCAAATTAAGGCATGAATTAGTTTTCTAATGTGTGAAGAATAAAATAAAGACCACATAACTTACTTAACATAACTTATTAAGATTTTTGACTTTAAATAAAAGTATTGTGTATCTGTATCTGTAACATTATTAAAATTATAATAATATCTTACACTACGGGAGTACTATAGATCTTAATTTGTACTCGAATTCAATGAATACACGTTTCTATTTTATGTTTTTCTTCCGTTTTTTCCATAACAAAAATCATTATTTTCGTCTAACGTGTCAGTGAAATTGTAGTCTGTAACTTTGTTACGCAATACACCTATACAATTCATTATTTCGGATGCTTCAAAACTTCACACAATCAATTTTGATAAATTTTTTCGAACTTTACAAGTAAGGCACAATTCTTTGACGTAATTATAAAACCTTTGCATTTATTATTAGCTACAGTACGTTACGTGAACTTAACTCTAATCGTGCCAGTGTAATTAACTTTACCTATTGCAAATTTCCTTTTTGGGTGAAAATTACAATTAAATAGAAAAGTTTGAGTTTACTATGCTTAGAAAAGTTATCTTTATTCCCATAAATAAAATTGTTTGATTGAAAATTAAACAGATATGTATTTCCTTAATATTGTGAACAAGAGAGGAAACTTTTCAACAAACTAATCGTTATTTGCAAGAATTCTTTTTTTCAATTATTAGAAAAAATAAATGTCAGTGAAATTTGTAGCTTTACAATCAAAAACGTTTGATGTACGTTCTCATTCTAGTGAAATTTATAAGTAATGGTACAGACGAATCGAAATTTGAGATTTTAAGATCAAAAATTAAATAATAAAAAGGACTAAATTTAATACAAATTTCGATGTGTGAATAGATTGCTTTATTATTGGAAATGTTTTTTTACGAAAAAGTAGGGAGGTAATCATCAGCAGCTCAGACTGGGCCAGACACGTGCTCAACATCGTTTACTTGACATGGAAATTATACAACGAATTACAAAAAATAAGATCAAGAATATTGATGCTGCAATACCAAAATAACTGCGCTAAACAATGTTTCTTCTTTTGCTGGATTTATCTAATGCTGCTAAATTTGATAGCCATTTCGATTGATCGTTGTTTCTGATCCTAAATGCTCGTTAATTTTATAACACTTGGTGAAAGCATTCTTATTAAATAACCTAATTTCCGCATTTTGTTTTTTATTACTTTCTTTTAAATTTATTTTTTAGGTAACAACGTAATAACATCAATTTTATCTCTGATCTGGGTCATTCTAATATTTTGTAGGACAATATGTTTTTGTTCTTTCATAGATTGTTGAGTTTGCTTAACAAAGCTGTAAGCGAGATTCTTTTTTCGTCTCGTAGCCTTTTCATAAGTGATCTTTTTGAATACAATAGAATTTTTGTACCTGTAAAAATCTGTTTTGGAATAATTTTTTTGAAAAACAAATTCTACGGCAAACTGCAATGTCTAAACTTCTTTTTTTTTTCAAAACTTATTAAATTTTTTTTCCAAATAAATATATGTATTTAAAATTTCAGATTAGTATTTTATTAAATTGGCACTATTTAAATTGGGGGAAACTTTATAATCACGTTGACTTGTTTTTGGAAAAGTGTTCAGTTTTTTCTGTAAGTTGCGAAATTTTTAATATTATTTAAATGTATATTCTAGTATATGCTGCCGATTGAAATTTCAATCCTCTGAGCAATCCTAAACTTCAAGTATTTTTAAAAATAATTATGCATTAGAAAATGTCACAGCTTTACATCGTATTGAAGCTAAAAATATTCTCTACTAAAGGAAGAAGAACTTCAAGTAATAAAAAAATTGGTGCGAAATTTAACAAATAAATAAATGTAAGTTTTTGAAGATGTTTTAGTTATGATTACAGTAAATTACCGGATTGTATGGTTGGTAAGGACATTTCTAATAGGAAACTCATTATTTTGGTTAATAAAACTAAAATATACGTAATTGAAACAATTTGTTTGGTAATTTTTCCGTTCATATGGTATTAGTTATCCTAAGATTTTCATTTTCAAAAATATATTTCTTATTACTATACATTTAGTAAAAAATAAAAATAAATTGAACCGACTAAAGAGCTTTCATTCCATTTTCTAAGATATCATGATAAAAGTATCTCACATATTATGAAACCACATTTTATTGTTAAATTTACCATTATCAAAGAGCTTCGGTAAAAATTATCCAGCAATTTGATGTTTCCATAGATCTAGGATAAAAATAATATTTAAATTTTCTCATATTCTGGTAGTCTTGCCCATATTTTTTTTCTCGGTGTAAAAAAAGGCGAATCAAATTTGCATATTATATCGAAAACTGTAATATTATATCATTCTTGTTTTACAATATATGCCACATATTTTGAGGACTGTTGTAACTTGCTTAATTGCTATTGTAAATAGAAATATTTAAACATAAAGAAAGAAATAACAATTAATGGTTAAGAGGAAGCATTATGTATCTTTACGTGGAAGCATTACGTGTTCAAGTAATGAGTAAACTGATGCTGTAAAGTTTTAACTTCTAAAATAATATTTTAAATTTCAACACTGAAATTCCTTTTTGTTTTAGTATTATATTATTATTTTAACAAAGGTAATAAAATTAGATCAATCTTAAAAAATGAGTTATTAAAACCATAAATATCACTAAATTTACAACAACAACAAATAACTTGGGTTACTCGAGGCCTGCACTGTGAGAAATCTCTCGTAAAAATTGTTAAATGACAATTTATTTATTTGTTATTTTACCATATTCAAATAAAACAGTCAAATCATAATAAATAAAATGGTATTCAAACTATTAACTGTGAGAAAATTCGTTCATTAACTTCTCTTACTAATACGGTTAAGCAACCAGAATTTTATCACACTAACTAGTGAACGCACTATTGAAGACATTCATAATTTGTTCCTAGTGGATAGGTTGCTGAGAGGGCTAATCTGTCAATTTTATAACCGAGAGAACGAAGATTTGTGTTACAGCTTTGATCCACAACATTTCCCCTTTTACCTTCAATACACGAAGAGTTTTCAGTGTCGTGCACCCCCCAATTTGTGAACCTTGACTGTTAGAATACTATACTCTCATTCACAGCAACATAAAGCTGCTAAACTATTTCCAGTGTCCTCTTAAATTTCATTTTTGCGATTTCGACACCATGCTAGTTGTAAATGTTAAAAAACCGTAAAAGGTAAAAAGAGTTCTTTACCGTAAAATT